CATCATTACAAGTGGTATGGTATTACCATCAGTTTACTTGTAACTTCAAGTTCTATCTACTTGCATATGAAACCAGTTGTTTATAGTGAGACCGACGCTTTAAGGATAGATGATACAAATTTTTTATTTGGAAGAGACTAAACATCATGTTATGAATTTAGAAAAGTGGATAATTCTTAGAATTCTTTCTCCTAAGAACTGGAAAATGAAATAGACTTGGAAAATATTAGTAATATTTCAATATAATTACAAATATGGACAAAACACACTCAGTAAAGTTTACAGATGAAAACAAATTTCAGAATATGTTACGTTGGTGCTAAAAGTGTAATTCAAACTGTAGAAAAATATACCAATTTTATTAAGAAAAGCAAAATCGTAAAAATCATCCAATGGTTTATTGCAGATTTTTACGATTTTGCTTTTCTTAATAAAATTCATCCGGCTTGGTATATTTTTCTTAAGTTTTTATTATACTTTTAGCACCAAGGTAACATATTCTGAAATTTGTTTTCACCTGTAAACCTTAACTGAGTATGCTTTGTCTATATTTGTTTTTTTAATTGAAATATTAGTAATATTTTCAGAGTTTATTTCATTTTCCAGTTCTTTGGAGAAAAATGCTATGAATTATCCACTTTTCTAAAATTGTGACACGATATTAAATCTATTCAAAAGGAAAAAGTTGTTTGTATCATCTGTCCTTAATGGTTGGTATTTTAAATTTCTTTTTAGTTCACCTGAGCCTTGCGAGCTTTTCTGATTGAAATTTTTCAAATTGTTTATCATTTTAAACGTTTCACAATTTTATCTTCTTCTCTAGAACTAATGGGCTGATTTCAACAAAACTTGGCACAGAGTATCCTTTGGTGAAAGTGATTCAAGTTTTCAAATAAAGGACCATGTCCTCCTCCAACGCTAGATAATTACGAAATTGCGAAAAATCAATGGCATCATTGAATGATCTTTTTCTCAAAATGAACCAGGAAAGATGAAACTCAAGTGGAATCATTGTCAGATAGTGTAGATTCAAGTTTGTTCAAAACATGACCCCCAGAGGTAGGGTGAGGCTGAATTGATGATCAAAGTTTTTAATAGGAATACATAGGAAAAGTCTTTAAAAATTTTCTTTTCAAGAACAGCAATGCAGTGATTGGTTATATTTATGTGAAAATATCCTTAGGTTGTGTATATTCAAGTTTGTTCAAATCATGACCCCCGGGGGTAGGGTAAATCCACAAAGGAAAATCAACGTTTTACATACGAATATATGGGGAAAATCTTTAAAAATCTCCTTCTGAAGAACAGTAAAGCTGTGATTGGTTATTTTTATATGGAAGCATCTGCATTTATTGAAGATTCAAGTTTTTTTCAAATCATAGGGAGAGGTTGAGGCCACAATGGACGATCATATATTTTCATAGGAATAGATACATGTATGAACGAGAAGTATTTGTCGAGACTGTAGCTCTACTGGTCGATACTTATAACATACGAAGAAAAAAGTAACTTGAAAATTTGCAACAGCAATAAATAGAATAATGTCCCTTGATTTAGTCTCTTTTTGTGGCAAGATGACAATCTGACTAAATCTGAAGGAGTAAACTTTTCAAAAAATTTTACAGAAAATTTTAATTTACGTAACCAAGGAAACACCATTCATCAAAATAAACAACCCATAAAGAGAATTTATGACTATGTTAGTGTAGTCTACTTGTGTGCCAAGTTTTATTAAAATCAGACCAAAACTGTAGGAGAAGTAGCATTTTGAAAATATTTCGAAGAAATTTCTATTTTTAGCAAATATGGTTACATCATTAATCAAAATTAAAAACTCATTAAAAGAATTATGTATGTTTGTGTAGTCTACTTCTGTGCCAAGTAATATTGACATCAGACAGAAACTGTAGGAGGAGAGGCATTTTGAAAATATTTCAAAGAAATTTCTTGTTTAGTAACCATGGTCACACCAAGTTTAATTGCAATCAAACCCAAAGTACATAAGGACTAGATTTTAATTAAACTTTTAATAGATTCTTCTTTTTAGATGCCATGATTACATTATTCATTATAACCTAAAACTTAAAATAAAAGTAATAAGGCCTTAAAAACAGTCACATGAGTATAAAACAACAATCCATAGAGGATCTATGGAATATAAATTGAAAGCTGCAAAAACACACCCATGCAGGTTTCATCTATCTTGGTCCAGTGATTCTAGAGAAGAAGATTGTTACAATGCATTCCCATGTAAAATTTTGATCATTCATCGTGAACCCTTCCTACCATGGGGTTCATGATTTGAACAAACTTGAATCTATGCTTCCTGAAGATGTTTGCACACAAGTTTCATCTTTCTTGGCCCATTGGTTCTGGAGAAGAGTTTTAAAGATTTTTCATATGTATTCCTATGTAAAACCTTGAACATCCATTGTGGCCCCACCCAACCTCCAGGGATCTTGATTTGAACGAAATTGAATCTGCACTATCCGAGGATGATTGCATATAAGTTTCATCTTTCTTGCCTTAGTGGTTCTGGAGAAGATTTTTAAAGATTTTTCCTATGTATCATTCGTAAAACATTGACCGTTCACGGTAGTTCAGTAGGTAGAGCGCTCGCTCCGTGATCAGGAGGTCGTGAGTTCGTATCTCGGCTGCGACTGACCTAAATCGATAAAAAAAAAATGGGTAGCACCTGTTCTTTCGCCATGAGCTCGGCACTTTGAAGTGAAAGTTGCAGGTCCTTCGGATGAGACCTTAAAAACCGAGGCCCCGTGTCAGCAGCAGGCTCAATGGCCCTGAGTGCCTAGTTAAGGTCAAAATTTAAAGCCCTTCACCGGCATACGGTGACGTCTCCATATGAGTGAAAAATTCTCGAGAGGGGCGTTAAACAATGTACAATCAATCAATCATAAAACATTGATCGTCCATTGTGGCCCCACTCTACTCCAAGGGGTCATGATTTGAACAAATTTGAATCTTTCTTGGCCCATTGGTTCTTGAGAAGAAATTATTTAAAAGATGACATTAATATGTGGCTAATTCTTAATTATCTCCCCTTAGAAAAAGGCTTGGTCCTTTATTTGGACGAAACTGAATCATCATTACCCAAGGATACTTTGTGGCAAGTTGGTTGAAATTGACCCAGAGGTTTTTGAGAAGGATTCAAAAATATGAAAAGTTTATGCACAACGCACACCCGCACGCCCAAACCCCATAAAGAACAAGGCCCCAGGGATTTTTTAGTTGAATATTTTGTAAATTGTTCTTCTATTAGAATTTGTTCTTCCAAATCAGAGATTGCAGAGCTCACCGCAAGAAATGTTAAGGCAAAATCATAATCATACTAAACTTATAATTTAATAGCAGGCATCCTTAGATGCAACATTTATGCAATCTTGTTCTGAAAGGGCTTGCAGTTACTGAAAGATGGACTTGTTCTTACTTTAAACAACTCATTATCCGGAAAATATGTTAACAGTATGATGTTTACAGTAGGTTAGCACTTTTAAGGGGGATGAGAACAAAATGTAAACATTTCTATTTCTTGGCTAAAATACATTATATTTTGATCAAATTTTAAGTCCTTATGATAAAGATACAATAATGTACAATAAATATACATAATTGAATGCATGTTGTGCATATATAATCTACACTTTTGCAGAAAAATGATTTTGATATGCTCCTTAGAACTGCGCAGCTACAGAATTCAGCAGAGCCTTAAAAAATCCAAAAACATATTCAAACTATGCATTAATGTTCTCTCTACAACCATTTGTTGAGAAAATGTCATTTGTGCACTTTTAAATGATAATTTCAAGTTCAAAACTAGTGCTAATTGTAACAGGAACCGTTACAGATGTTCCCCAAACGCGCCCCAACTCCCTTTTGGTGCCATATTTCCTGTAAGCTTCATTAAATAAGACAAACATATGCATTTGAGACTTTAACAACGTTTACCCAGAAGGGTACCAAGTTCATTCAAATTTTAGCATTGCACGCGTGCACATTTGAATGCGTGTGCGTAATGACCATATGATCTTATCTACACAATCTATATACTTTAATATACTAAATATTAAAATATTTAATCCAAAAGTATTAAAAAATACGCTCATTCAAGTGTATTTTTGATTTTACTCATTCCACGTGCACGCACGTGCATACATGAGCATGGTGACATACCTACTTGTGGAAGTCCATTACATCTATCTATGTTCTAAATCCCACTCAGTTTGGTTGAAAACCAAGGGAGTTATAGCTGATTAAAGTTTCAGCCAATCAGATTGCAGCGTACGTTCACGCACGTGTATGGATGTGCATGGTGATCATACCTTCTTGTAGAAGTCCATTATATCTATCAATGTTCCAAATCTCATCCTGTTTGGTTGAAAACTAAGGGAGTTATAGCTATTTAAAGTTTCAGCCAATCAGATTGCAGTGCACGTACACGCACGCGTATGAATGTGGTACCGTTGTCTTCAAAATGAGTGTAAAGAACCATGAAAGTAGTTCATGGATAGCAGCACGTGGTCTATTTTTAGCACAGAATTTTGTTTTCCAGACCAGAATGCTGTAGCTGTGCAGTTCTAACATGATTAATTTCCTCCTAATTAAAACAAAATAAACTTAACTATTTACTAGTTTTGGTCTCTAACAGTAGGTAATGAGTGCATTAGCACTCTGAGTAAATTTGGGCTTGTTTGGGCTTGTTTGGAAAAGTATTAAGCGCATTCTTAGTATTTGTTATTTTACACCAGACTTGATCCAATATGGCTTGTATATCCCCCTTAAAGGAGGGTAAATTATAATAAATTAATCTTAACTATGTCTAGATTATTTTTAATACGTGACTTCTGTGCTCATGGCAATTTAAAAAAAACCAATTGCAAGACATCTAATATTTCATACAGATAGCGCACAAATATTATACGAAAGTTTATTTATAAACTGAAAATTCCACTTCTCATTATACTTTTCAATGAGAACAGGAAATATTAAGCTATGATGTTAAAATGTCTTCCTACAAATGGCTGTAAGTAAAAAAAAAACAACAAACAAACTGGTACATTTATATCTATATATAATTGTTTAAGTGAAATTTTGTGTGAAATTGTTTGTATAATTTATAGATAATTAGATTTATATTATCTTAATCTTGATTTGTAGTAATTGCTCTAAGCTACAGACTGCAGTGATCTGTTTATGTGATAAGGCCATGACGCTTATTAAGATTTGGCTGGGGAAATTTAGCTCTTCTAATAGCATTGCTGACTTTTATCCACCGAGTCTGAGGGGGGTTGAATGTCCGAAGTGCTGACCAAGAGAAAATGCAGAAATCATAGTGTTCACAGTTTACAGGTTAATTTAGCAATGATTGACAGTCTGTATTATGGGCAGTTCTCAATATTTAGTGTAGAATTTGTGTGTTCAATTAGTTTTACTCAGTAAGGTCCTGTTTGTACAGTGTTACACGGGAATACAAAATAAATTTTCTAAACAAAAAGTTTCAGTGTAACATTTTAAGTGGTGGCAGCGGTAAAGGATCCTAATTAAATGTGAAATATTGTTTGAAATTATATATATATTTATACCCCCCGCTTGAAAAGCGGGAGGGTATATAGTAATCGTTAATTCCGTCCGTCCGTCCGTCTGTTACGCTTTGGGGTACCCATCTCTTATCCTCAACTCCTCTTTAACCACTGAGTGAAATTTAATGAAACTTTCACAGAATCTTTATTACATATTGCCATTGTGCACCTCCTATTTTATTTTTTGATCCGACAAATATTTTGGGTTTCCTGGCCACCGCAAAACATGGACTTTGCCATTATAATCATATGGGAGGCGGGGGTATCATTTAGTGAGCTCATTGCTCACAGTTCCTCTAGTTGGTCTTAGAATTGGAAGTACAACTATCTGAACAAGAACAGGAACATGGATTATCTTTAAAAACACTCGAATTGGAACATCAAAAAGAAATTTTTGGAATTACGTGTTCAGCTAGAGAAAGTCAATTCAACACCAAGAGCACATTATACAGGAATGCCAAAAATTAAACTTCAACCATTTAACCAAGAAAAGGATGACATTTTATGCTATCTCTCTGAATTTGATGCGGTAGCTGAGCATGCAGGTTGGACTGAGAACTCAAAGGCTTTACAGCTTAGGTCACTTTTAACCGAAGAAGCCCGAGAAGTGTCACAGCAAGTGACTTCGGGATACAGAGACCTGTATAAGACTCTTTTGAATCGATTCGGCAAGCGCCCAGCAGACTATTTCCTGCTCATGGAGGAAATCAAACGTAGACCAGAAGAAACTTGAAGAGGATAAATGTCGAGGATAGATCTGTACTTGAATCGTTTAATCATGAGAAAAATCACGTACAAAAGTCTCCTCACCAAGCCCAGTGGATTAGACTGAATTAGGGATTCAGTGAGTTAGTTGAAGCTGAGGATTACATTTTATCAACAAAAACTTCTAAAAATCCTAAAGTGTTAGTGAAAAAAAGAGCCAGGAACAGTGGAACTCCGGAAAACAGAAAAGTTTGGAAAAAATGAAATGTTTTAGTTGTGGGAACTTTGGACATTATGTACTAAACAAATGTCCAAAGAAAGAAAATCTAGCGTCGTGTTTCGTGAAAGGAGCATTATGGGGTTTACATTATGTTCCGGAGAAAGTGTGTGGAAGTGTCAATGGTCAAGGACACTGGAGCATCTATGACGCTATTGCGGGAGGATCTTGTTGATCCAAAATGCGTTTTACATAGACAAACTACTTCCTTGGTTACAGCCATTCGAGGCTAAGTTAACAGTGGTTAACTTCGAAACATCAATGTTTAAAGGACATGTTTGGGTAGGTTTAGTACCTGATCTGGTTTATTGGGAATAGATGTTCTGGAGAGGAACAAAGTCGCGGCTGTGGTTACGAATGCAAAAGCAAAAGAAAAGAACAAAATGAATTGAGTGCAAAAAATTGCATGATTAAATGTGATGTTGAACCAAGGGACTTAAACGTCGTGGTAACTAACGATGCGGCTGATGATGTGGACCTAGTTTTACTGGAAATTTCATTGGAAAAGTTGAGAGTGGTGGATGGAAATAAACTAACGGATCTTCAAAATCAAGACCGGTCAGAGTATCCTAGTTGTAGAGCGTCAAGACATCTAACATATCTGATCCGTTTTCAAAGATCGCAATGGACATCGTCAGCCCACTCAATAGGACAACTCAAGGTAACAAATGCATTCTGACTGTCATTGATGAAGCTACGAGATACCCAGAAGCTCTTTGCCAAGTTGTGAAGCTGAACGAATAGCTGACACACTCATTACATTATTTAGTCGAGTTGGAATTCCTAAAACCATTCTCACTGACCAAGGATCAAATTTCCTGAATGCGCTTCTTAAAGATTTATATGAGAAAATCAAAATCAAGGGAATAACTACAACGCCATATCTCCCGCAAGCAAATAGCAAAGATGAAAGATTTAATGGAACGTTAAAATCAATGTTGAAAAAGTTGTTAATGAGAAAGGTGAAGATTGACTATACTTCCCTATATGTACTTTTTGCATAGAGAAAAGTCCCACATGAGGAGACTGGCTTTTCACCATTTTACCTGTTGTAAGGATGGCCAGTACGTGGGTCCCTTAGTGTTTGAAGAGCTACATGACCTGTGAGGAGGAAATTAAAAAAAACTTCAGAGATAGATCATGTTGTCAACATCCGAAACAAACTAGCTGATGTGACACATTGACAACTCGTGCAATACAACTTAGAAATGAGGCAATCGAAAAACCAAAAGATTGGTATGATCGCTTAGCATCCAAACGGACTTTGCGTCCTGGTGATGAAGTACTCGTTTTTCTCCCGACCGAACCTGGTAAGATGTCCGCTAGGTGGAAAGGACCGTTTCGTGTGGTTAACAAGGTAACTGATGTTAACTATAAAATCAATGTTGGAGGACGACGTGGACCTGTTACTTACCACATCAATTTACTTCGTCCTTATAACCGGGCTAGGTGAAGGATATGGAGATAACGAGCAGTATTCAATATCAAAGTCCATAAAACAATACAAAATAAGAGTAGAGCAAACACAGACCTCCGAAACATCAGAAGTGGGATCAGGTGTCATGAAGGAGTGGGCATCCCCTGCTGATCGGACACACCCGCCGTGTGCTCCTTGTCATGATTATGAAAATCCGGTAACAGAAAAATCCGTCGTCAATTCAGTGCATAAATAATAGACTAACAATTACGTGTAGTATGAAAAACGTCCGTCAGCATTTGACTCAATGATAAATTGTATTTGCTGACAAGGTCATTGTATCGACTATAGAACTTACACATGATGACTTTAAACGAGACTGCTGATATTCTTGTGTCATCAACTTGCTTTTCAATAATTTACCTCGTTTTAAAAATTGTTCATACGTAGAGCATGCTCTTGCGTATCGAATCAACTGAGATATATATACACCCCGTATGCAGGTGATGAAGATATATTGCTGCATAAGGAAGGGAAGTTGACGATAGAAAAGTTAAAGTCATCACGTTTATCATACAGCCTGTTTGTTAGATTACCATTTACGTCTTTTTCAAGTAAAATATCCAAGTATGAAACAGATGTGTCAGACTCTGTGGTATCTGTTTTCTCAAGATCACCAGGATATATCGTATCGACGTATGTAGGAATGGAAATGATCATTGCTAATTGACGATACGTCGTCGATATATTTAAATGAAAGATATCGAGATAACGAACAGTATTCAGTCTCAAAGTCCATAAAACAATACAAAATAAGAGCAGAGCAAACATGGACCCCCTAAACATCCGAGGTGGGATCAGGTGCCATGGAGGAATGTGCAAATGTCGAGTTGAAGGCCACAGCAAGTATTTTCTTCTTTTCACGCATAAGATTCTGCACAAATTCTGCTTCATATGAATATAAAAATAGTTCCGCTAATAACGGAGCGCAATTTGTACCCAATTTGGATTCCAATAGATTGTTGGAATACCTGATCTTCAAAAACTACATAGATATTGTCAATCAGACACTCAAGCATATCTTTGATGTCAACTTCAGAGTACTTGCGTGTGCAATCAGAATGTGTTTTAACAAAATAATTTTGCAAATGACCAATGACTAGGTAAGTTAATTTACGAGTTCCATTTTTATTAAAAAAGCAGCTCTCAATGATATCTAAAAGCCTGGAATTTGTACATGGGCTGACACACGTGCAGAGACAGAGATTAAGGGATGTTTGTCAGATATTTTCAAGAATTTTCACATGAAAGCCGGGAAAGTGTGATGTTATCTCACATACAATCAGAACAACGTGTGAGAACGCATTTACTCAGAGACCTTACAGGATACCGGAAGCTCAAACACAGGTAGTGTAGGAGTCTTTGAATGAAATGTTAGAATCAGGACTTATTACACCATCCAAAAGTCCGTGGGCCATACCAATTGTCTTTGTCAACAAGCCAGATGGGACAATTAAAATATGTGTTGATTATAGGAAACTGAATGGAATAACTCTTACAGATCCTTATCCCATTCCAAGAATGAGTGAAGTATTAGAGATAATTGGAAGTGCAAAATATTTGAGTAGATTTGATCTTACAAAAGGCTACTGGCAAGTTCCACTGGCAAAGGAAACACGCGAGAAATCCGCCTTCATCACCCCATTTGGCCTTTTCAAGTTTACAGTGATGCCGTTTGGCATGAGGACATCTCCAGCATCATTTATAAGACTTATGGATCGCATTTTAGATGAAACTCAAAATACTGTTGCGTACTTTGATGGCATAATTGTCTACAGTAAGACTTGGGAAGACCATATCAAACATGTAAAAGGGCTACTTCAGCGTATTCATGAGGCAAATCTTACCATTAGACCATCAAAATGTAAGTTGGGAGCAACAGAAATCATCTGTTTGGGACATATAGTTGGAGGGGGATCAATTAGACTAGACCCCCGCAAGTTGAGAACCATGGAGGATTTTCCACTTCCCTCGACAAAGAAGGAATTAAGATCATTCTTGGGGTTAACTGGATACACTATCGCCAGTACATAGAGAAATATGCGGAAATAATTGCACCATTGACTGATCTACTTAGAAAAAGTCAACCTGCAGAATATAAATGGACGGAGAGGGAAGTACAGTTATTCAAGAAACTGAGGGAGGCCCTGATGACAGCTCCTGTGTTGGTCAATCCGAACTGCAGTTTACCGTTTGTACTACAAACAGATGCGAGTAATAACGCAATTAGGTCGTCCTGAGCCAACAGGTATCAGATGGTGATCAACCAGTTCCCTACCTGAGCAAGAAGTTACTTCCGAGGGAAAAGAACTATTCAACAACAGAGAAGGAATTATTGGGCGATTGGATCATTTGCGTATTACCTAGTGCGGAGGAATTCTTTTAGGTAGAAACAGATCACAATCCTTTTACACGGTTGTATCGCATGAAGAATAAAAATCAGAAACTGTTGCGTTGGGCCCTTGCACTACAGTTGTACACCTTTGAAGTTAGATATAATTTAGAGAGGACGCAAAAATACAAATACAGACGGATTATCAGGAATCTGAAAAGTGAAATGTGTTTGTGAATTAATGGCAATTTTGTGAACATTTTATATTCATAAAATCCACAGTGCATTCAATTTGGATTTAATGTGAAATTTAGGATTTTGGATTTTTATTATTCTATTGATGGTTAATTGCTTTTAACTGTTTAATACTCATTTGTACTGGCTTAAGTAAATTTAGTGACTGGTTAAATTTTATGTTGCTATATGCATAATTATGAACTTGAAAAAATTAAACTATTGACGGATAAATTTTTATCTTTGGAAGGGAGGTGTTAAAGTGAAATTTTGTGTGAAATTGTTTGTATAATTAATAGATAATTAGATTTATATTATCTTAATCTTGATTTGTAGTAATTGCTCTAAGCTACAGACTGCAGTGATCTGTTTATGTGATAAGGTCATGACGCTTATTAAGATTTGGCTGGAAATTTAGCTCTTCTAATAGCATTGCTGACTTTTATCCCACGAGTCTCAGGGAATTGATTGTCCGAAGTGCTGACCATGAGAAATACAGAATTCATAGTGTTCATAGTTAACAGGTTAATTAAGCAGTGATTGACAGTCTGTAGGTTGAGCAGTTCTTAATATTTAGCGAAGAATTTGTGTGTTCAATTAGTTTTACTCAGTCAGGTCCTGTGTGTAAAGTGTTACACGGGAATAAAAAATAAACTTTGTTAAAAAATTTGGGCGTTTTTAGTTAAAAACAGAAAGTTTCGATGAAACAATAATCAATACAGACTACTTAAGGTATATCACTCGTCAACGTTTTAGAAAAGTTAGCGCAGAACCTCCTACTTCAAAACTATTTCATAAAATTCAATTTTTATAACATATTAAAATTCAAAAATGTAATTTTTTTTACATACAACAAAAAAACTGCTTAAAATCTACAAAGAAGCCAGATTTATGAGGGACTATTTTTGTGGTGGAAGGATATTTAGCAGAAAATTCTGCAATTCTGCATATTTATTGAATTTAACATTGTTGAACTTAGCCTCACGTACTTTTACTCGGAGAACATTTTCCGTAAGGATATAGCTAGGAATATTTGATAAAGGTCTTAACTTATATTTTTAGAACAGGTTTTACACCTTCCCTCAACAAATTTATGAAGACATGTAAGAAGTCATGATAAAATTTACACCAATTTTTAGTCTGAAATGCACATATTTTGACCAATATTTCAAAATTAACATCAACATTTTCTTTTGTTATTTCAAACTACTCAATAGTTGCGACTGATCAGCACTGAAGTCGTAAAAAGTTTGATATAAGAAAATGTTTTATTGCTTTATTTAGTTTTTAATACCTCCAAACATGTTACTTTTTAGTGCAAAAAGGTCACACAAAAATTTACGCGCATTAATTTGCAAGATTATTTTCAATTATGAATATTATTCAGACCATTGTACGTAAAATAAGATTAAATTTATTGCCATGGTTACATCTGATATAATATAATGAATGTTAGAGTAATAAACCAAAGAATTACAATTTAAGTGAAAAAAGGTCAACGTAATTGTACCGTGGATCAGTAAGATGCACACTGATCTCCTATTTTCTCTGCTATTTCGAGTTACACTATATGAGTACTTATCAAAACAATACTTCTCAAAAAATCCTTGATTTAACAAATTTCACGAGTGACATACCTTAATGTTTCTTGATATTCTAAAAAGCATTATTATGTAAGTTAGAGCGATGGTACAGTAACTGGTGAGATGTTGTACAATGAAAATGATGAGTTGTATGATTTTGGTCTATAAAAATATAACTAAAACTCGTTAATATTGAATTTTTCAGTAACATATTTATACAAATGTATATTTATTTTATATTTGGTACAGGGACCTGGTTATACAGCATATATCAGAGTCTGTGTTTATGAAACTGTGTCATAGGGTGGGGTCCTCAGAGACGGTGATCATGAGGAGACAGATGGTGGACTTCAGGTTAATGATGATAAATCAAGTAATAAATACAAGAGAAGCAGACAGTATGATGATGAGTGGGGGTCGAAGAGAAGGATTCAGGCTACATGATTATGACTTTATGTTTTGGCCAAATGACCACAAGGTAATATGGGACTTAAGCCAGGCTCAGAATTATGTCTTAAATAGAACAAACCTGATTCTCTGTGATTGTACAGAGAGCCCTCCAGGATTTTCTTTACTTGAATTATTGACACCAACACACAGGGAAAGTGTAAAGAATGCGTGTATGAGAATAAACGGCAGACGCTACATATCAAGTTCCAAATACAGACAGATTACATGTTCAGCAGATTGGCCTAATTTTAAGGAGCATGGCCCATGTGGTAGTGGCGTTTTAGAAGGAAGAGAGTATGACACTGCCCGATGTTTTGTCTGTGATTTTTGGCCCCCTCCTGCCTCCAAATGGATAGACAGATGTCACTCATGGCCCCCTTCTTATATTGTTGATGACATAGTCAGAAATGGATGTCACTTTGTAGCAATAGGACACAAACTAGGTAAACATGCAGACAAAGAATGGAGAATATCATTCTCTTTGGCAGAACAAAAACTTGTATATTCAATGAACCATTGCCAATTCTTAACCTATGGGCTGCTTAAATTGTTTTTAAAAGAATGTATTAACGATGGATTAAATGATGAGGACAAATTGCTTTGTTCCTATCACATGAAGACAGCAGTTTTCTGGGTGTTACAACTGAACATGATACCTCAATGGTGTCCTCACAATCTTTTTCATTGTTTCTGGGTTTGTTTCAAACTTATCCTTAAATGGGTGTATGAGGGGGTCTGTCCCAACTTTTTCATTCCAGAAAACAACATGTTTCTGAGTAATATTCATGGTGAAGCACAAAAGAAATTATTCATTAGGCTTCATAAATTGTATGAGAAGGGTTTAGTATCACTGCTTCATATTCCATCTATCAGGTCCAGTGTTATAAGTGTCCTTCAAAATCCCAGACAATCTGTTGATACATATAAGCACATGTTGGTCTCCAGGGTTTTGTTACAAAGAAATCTAATCATTGAGTTGTATAACACTGATATACAAATATCAGCAAGTAACCTGCACTCATGTATGAGGTTCTTTAGTGCTGTAGAAAAGTTGATAATTTTACCCCTGACCAAGTACCAGGTTCTCATGTTACGGAGGTTTATAGTCTGCATACTCCAGAACACTGCTTTTATGTTATTCAAGCTTTTAACCATTTTTGCACCAAAAGGATTAGATACTAACTCAATCGTAAACAAACAGGTATATCTGGCTATCAAAATATCCAGTTTTATGCTGAAATTAGCATCCAAGTTTGGGAGTATTTCTGATATGTTGTTTATTGCAATGTTTTTCTACAAGACGCTTAGATATAAAGAAGCATTATCAGTTATAGAGATGACAAAGGTCAAGTGCTCACAGCCATATGTAATGCCAGTATTTTTCTCTAATGTACATAAAAGACATGCTGTAGTATGTGATATTCTTATTTTCAACGCAGTCTGTTACATAAATGAATTGGTGCCAGAACAACACTTTGGATACCCTATATTAACTATTCCACACTATGTTGTGTTATACATGTTAGAGATCTTGTGTTACAGACATGTAGACCCAGTGAGAGCACAAACATCTCTTAATGACCTACAGGACCTGGTACACCATGATCAGGGAAAATATATAGATTTACGATACAGAGACATATCTTGGCAGATTCTAGGGATCTGTCAACAGGTTACAGGGAACTATCAGGCTGCTCTGTTCTCCTACCAACAATCTCTCAGACATGCATCGCAAAACATACAAACTGCTACATTGATGAGAATACAGGAACTCATGACACTCGTGCACAGAAATCAATAACAAAAAATCAAGATAGTTACCTGTCAGAGTTCAGCAATTCAGAACTTTTCTTTAACAGGAGTATGAAGGAACCCCCCCCCCCCCCATTCACTTTCTACCTTTGAATTTATTTTTTTAAATTTATAGTTTGATATTTAAATGTGGTATTGTTTATTATCCTTTTAAAAGAAATGGGAATTTCGGGAATATTCTCTGACAATCTTCTATGTATATGTAAAGAAATCCTTATGTTTTTTATTTTTTTCTTGTAAATTAAGTCTGTTATTTGCATGATTTGTAAATAAAATTTGTGAAACAATGATTTTTTTCAGTAAAATCAGTTATACTATAGATTGGTAAATTAATAATCATGATGGTTTAAATTTCACAACGTTTCCTATTAATCATTTTCCAGTAAAATTAAAAACATCATGAATGCTATCATAAGTTTTTAAAAACGTTAACATGCTCATACGAAATATAAATTAATTTCTTACAGCGTGAAATTAAAACCATAGCAATTGGTACTTTTTGAGAAATTGTGAAATTTTAACACCACGGAATTAAAATTTTCATTTCCTTTATATATTTATATATGAAAAATAGATTAAAAACCAAATAACCTTCCATCGAGTTTCATCTTTTACCTCATTTTTTTTTTACCACACTGTGGATATCTCTCATTGGATGTCTTTTCCATAAACCATTGTTGTGACATACAATGGTTTTAATGTGAATGTAATGAAGTAAAATAGTATGGATTCATATATAACAAGAGGCCCATAAGCACTTATGCACTTAAGCACTTAAACTTGAAAAAACAGAAATCAGTTTCTGTATTGAGAAGTTTAAAAAAGTAAGTGGTCCCAAACAACTTCCTTGGTGAATGATTTGTACAAACTTGAATCAACACCACCTGAGGATGTTTCTATATTTCTTTGATTAATCATGGCTTCAAAAGATTTTAAAAGTTTTTTTACTTTAAGATTTAATTTTCTATTGTGGCCCGCCTTAACCCCCAGGAGTCATGATTTTTACAAACTTAGACTACACTTACCCTAACCCTAACCCAAAAATAATTTAACTTACGATGGCGTTGATATTCTTAAGAAGATTTTAATGGGGTCAAAATTTAAACAAATTTGAATCCACACTAACTGACGATGTTCCGACATGTTTCATATTCCCTGATCTATTGGTTTAAAGAAGATTTTTAAAAGATGCCATTATTTTTTTCTAATTCTAAATTATCTCCCCTTAGAAGATGGTGTGACACTTATAGTTTCTTGGTAATGGATTTGCTCCAAAAACCTCAACCTGGTCACTCATCTGGAAAATGTAGGTCAGATCCAGCATCCCAAGCAAGCCTTAAAATGAACATCCTTATCTGTATCATCCTTACAAGTGCGGGCAATACTGGGTTTGTAGTTACAGTACTTGAAAATGAGCCTTGCTCCAAAAATATTAATATGCTCCAAAAACGTTTACTTGTTTCAAAAAACATTAATCTGGTCATTCTATAGCTAAAATAAAAGCATCTGAAACTTTGACTGGCTAAAAGCATTATATATGCAACTCCTTATTTAGATTATGACACAGAATACAAGAAAAGAAATTTGCTCCAAAAAACTTTGTTGAGATGAGGTAAAAATCTTGCAGCAACATGTCCTTAAATCTGCACACAAAGGATTGTGATTTTATCATCATTGTATGAAACTTTATTAAGTATGATATTCCTGTTCATCCAAGGTAGATCATAAACTACAAAGATAGTTACAGATTCTTAAAGAAAGTTTTAAAAATAATACCCCTCTCAAGGGTTGGCAAATCCCTTTGCCCGACTTCAAGGCTAGTGAACTTTAGGGATGGGCAAGTGAAATTTCATCAACCACTTGCATATGGGAAAGTGACTAAAAAATAGTAAAATCGAAATGTAAGTCACAGACTTTAAGTTGGGCACAGAGCTTGCATGATCTACACAGTACTGTAAATGTACATGTATATTTACTGTTTTGCTTTTGTCGAAATGCAGCGCAGAAGTAAGACAAAACTGCATAAAGAAATCATGTGAAAGGATAAGATAATAAAGTATTGTTTGTCTTTCAACATAGTAAATTGTAAATATTGAAAAGAAAATTCTTTTACATTTATGGTCTGAAACTTTGAAATTTTGCTTTGGAAGGTATCTTTCATGATGCTAGATTTCGGGAAGTTAAACTAAAAAAATGCCATCTTTTTAACATGGAAAGCAGTTGAACAGATGAGAAATACTTCTATCATCTTGCGTCTTAGTGTCATATTGATGTACAGAAAATACAGAAGTTACATGGACTGCACTGTTTCTGTATGAAGGCAAGGCAAAATTATGCTTTAAAAAGAACGGATACAAAGAAGGTTGCATTTAATGAGAAACCATGAAAAAAACCATGTAGAAACTCTCATAAATATCTATTAATTATTATATGTGAATTATGTTTAAAGTAATAATGAAATATGATCAAAATAAAGTTATAAATCATTTTTAAAATATATTTTGTTGCCACGTTACACAATTTTGCATTATAACAATGTGACCTTAATTTGTACGAAAAGCCACGCGAGTTTAAAAAGTGCGTTGAGCTGTATATTTAAAGCATAAACTGATTAATTATTATATTTTGCCAGATCCTTTAAGACTGATATATTATAAAAGCATATTTAGAAACTTTATTGTTATGAATAGATAGCATAAATGATATTTATCTGACCTTGTCTGAAACTGTTAAATGTGGTTGTCAATCCGCCTGAGATTGTGTGATTCCAGTCAACTGCAAAAAATGAACAATTTTATGTGTCAGAATGGGAACAGTTCCACAAATTTTAAGTACAAAATTACTTGAACAAATCAGCAAAAATGTTTTGCTGGCTAACATAATATATTGACTGTAAAACATTGTTATAGCAAACATGACGATGATGAATTAAATCAGGGTGTAGCCAGGTGGAAAAAGTAAAAGATACTTTTAATCTATTGCAAAGGATCACATCATTAAAAATAGTGATCTGATCAATAGGGCCGGGCTTTTTTTTTTTTTTTTTTTTTTTGTCTACAAAAAACTTGTCGATTTCCTTTCTGATTTATGACATTAGGCTGATTACATGTAACAATTTGTTTTTCCTAAATCTTGATTTCAGTGAGTAGAGATAGGGGGAACCCTCTCATTGATTTTCTTAAGTTTGTTATCTCTAAATGTAATAATTGACATTTTTCTTTACTTCTCATTGTGCATAATGGTAATGTCTACTGTCTCTAAAGTTCTATTCTTTATGTCTAGGCTATTTATCCGTAGATATGATAAAGAAGGATATGGAAATAACGAACAGTATTCAATCTCAACGTCCATTAAACAATATACAAAATAAGAGCAGAGCAAACACGGACCTCCGAAACATCAGAGGTGGGATCAGGTGCCATGGAGGAGTGAGCATCCCCTGCCGACCGGTCACACCCGCCGTGTGCTCGTTGTCATAATCAGGAAATAACGGAAAAAATCCGTCGTCAATTCAGTGTATAAATAATGGACTAACAATTTGTATGAAAAACGTCAGTCAGCATTTCATTCAATGATAAATTGTATGTGCTGACAAGGTCATTGTATCGACCATAGAATTTACGAAATGATGACTTTAAACGAGACTGTTGATATTCTTGTTTCATCAACTTGCTTGTCAATAATTTACCTCGTTTAAGAAATTGTTCATACGTAGAGCATGCTCTTGCGTATCGAATCAACTGAGATATATATACTCCGTATGCAGGTGATGAAGGTATATTGCTGCATAAGTAAGGGAAGTTGACGATAGAAAAGTTAAAGTCATCACGTTTATCATATAGCTTGGTTGTTAGATTACCATTAGTGTCTTTTTCAAGTAAAATATCCAAGTATGTAGCAGAAGTGTCGGACTCTGTGGTATCTTTAATCTCAAGTTCACCAGGATATATCGTGTCGACGTAGGAATGGAAATTATCATTATTAATTGACAATACGTCGTCGATATATCTAAATGTCGAGTTGAAGGCCACAGCAAGTGTTTTCTTCTTTTCACGCATAAGATTTTGCATAAATTCTGCTTCATATGAATATAAAAATAAGTCTGCTAATAACGGAGCGCAATTTGTACCCATGGGAATTCCAATAGATTGTTGAAATACCTGGTCTCCAAAAACCACATAGATATTGACAATCAGAAACTCAAGCATCTTCTTGATGTCAATTTCAGAGTACTTATGTGTGCAATCAGAATCTGTTTTAACAAAATAATTTTTCAAATGACCAATGACGAGGTAAGTAAATTTACGAGTTCCATTTTTATTGAAGAAGCAGCTGTCAATGATATCAAAAAGCCTGGATTTTAATTTGTCGTGGGGAATTGTTGTGTATAAAGTTGAAAAGTCGTAAGTTTTTAAGCTGATGATTTTTGTAAAGTCTTGTGATTTCAAATTGTCCAAAAGTTCTTTAGAATTTTTTAGTATCCACATCTGATTTACACCACTTCTTGAATATATAGTTGTACAGTACTCTTGAAGTTTTTCCTTCACTACTGTCAATATTTTAGTGAGAAGTAACGAAAGAGGCTTGGTTGAACATTTACTGGAACCTGCAATGTATCTTTGTTTGTAAGGATTCTTATGAAGTTTCGGAATCCAATATATATAAGGTAGTTCAAATTCATTTTGGCTCTGTGGAATATTAAAAGTATTCAAAACTGACAGGTGATTTTGAAGAATTTCTTCTTTAGAAAGGGAAGTATGAGTATAAGTAGGATTACCACTTGTAGAATTAAATCCAAGTTCTTCTAGAATGCAATTTACATAATGAGCCGTACAAACGAAGACAATGTTGTTACCTGCTTTGTCGGCAGGAACCAGTACGTACTGATCGTGTAATCTATCTAATTCTTTTTTCACTTCTGGTTTATTGAACACAGAAGGATAGATGGTTTTCATTTTGCCCCTCAATCTTTTAATACGTGACTTTAACATGGATCTGATACATTTAATCCATTCTGACAAGGTGTCAATGTCTTCTTTTTCATATCTGGCCCATCGTCTGGCG